GTTCTACTTTATGATGTCATGCAGTAATACAGGAAGAGCTCCAATGTGTTTTTAAACTTCATACACCTTCGCTAGAATCATCTGGATGATTTCAGACCAAGAATTGCCAATATCTACTGAACAAAATACAACTCCAGATCTGTTTTTGAGAAGGTAATAACATTTTAACACGATTTAAAGCACACAAGAGTCAATTTTGCATAAATTAAAATTTTAAATGGAAGAGTTAAGCTTTTTTACATAATTGCAAAATTGTGTTCTAATGGCAAAGCTTCATAAATATTGCAAATAATTAGGACCAGAAGTTACATTTTTATTATTATTGTTTATGTTTTGTGTTGTTAATATGCAGGGTTACATTTTATTTTTTATGTTTTAATAAAAGCGAATAAATAAACTGGTGCAGATCTGGAACACGCAATATTTAAGATAACTGTAGTACTACCTCCAGCCACAAGGGGTCAGAATCTCAAAGTTTTATTATGATTACTAATACAGTGAGTTATTATTTCACATGTCATTCCTCAGTTTAGCTATTTACCAAATTTGTGTCAATCATATTAGCTGTTAGCTTGACTTTATTTTTGTTAATTTTATAATTTTATTTTTATTGAGGAATAACAAGCAGTGTCTTGAGAAGCTCCATCTGTTTTTAACATGGTCCTTTCTACACTGGGTACAAAGTGGGTTAGTGGTTAGGTCTTTTCCTTCACATGTCTGATAGCGCTGCAAGATTAATCGAAATCTAATCAAAATCGCAAATTGACTGGACGCAATTAGCAAATTGCAAAGGCAGATTGAAGAACCATCATTTCCTCCACCAAACTGCCTTTTATTCTGCATAAAACTGCTAACCCTGTAGTTTACAGCTGTACAAACAAGTCTGTCAGTCATATTTCAGTGTTTTGTCAATTCTTCTGGATGCGCATAAACTGTAAACTCTGAACAGAATCCTATTATTAAAATAAATCACAAACCTAAACACAATGATTTTCACAGAAATCACAATTAGATCTTTTTCAAGTTGTTCAGCCCCAGTGTCCAGCACGAATTCAGCCAGGACCAGCAAACCAGGTTTACAGGTTTCCACGGGAGCTCCAGTTTCCCCTAACAGTAAAACATAGTGAGAAGTGAAGGGGAATCCTCGCTCCCTCCTCCCTGTGAAATACCCAGAGACAGTCTCATCCTCCCGTGGCTCCTCCTATATTTAAATGCTCTGTGTTTGGAGCAGACCTGTCTGACATCCCCGTGGTGCAGCAGTCCAGGTCAGGAGACCCTGGGCTCATTACAGAGATGACATGGTGAGAGTGTTCGGGCCCCGTAATTAAGAGCAGGGGCCCCGGGGACCAGTGGCATTTCAATAGAGCTGGTGCATAGAACAAAAGGTAAGGAGGGAGGACGTGCCACTTTTAGAACTGGAGACAGTGTGAGGGAAAGTTCAAGGAGTCACCTAAGTCATTATGTAATAAGCAATTTACTGCGAAGTCACCAAGAACTAAAATATGGATTTATGATGAGGAGGTTAACAGGATTTATATTTAACTGCAGTACTAAAAGTATTTATTAAAGGTCTTATATTACACTGCTTTCTGGTCCATGTTATAATGTTGTTTCCTCGTCACAAACAGACCTGAAGTTGAACACACAAACCCTGCATATTTAGGCTGAGTTCTCTCAGACAGAAAACACCTTGTGATGTCATGTGGTGATACAGGAAGTTCTCCACTGTGTTGTAAACTCCACACACCTTCACTAAAATCATCTGGATCATTCCAACCCTGAAAATGCCAATCTCTCCTGAACTGACGGTAAAAGGAAGCTGTTAACTTGAAAACTACAGCTTCATGACATCACAAGGTGGAACAGAGCATTTTGAGCTTTGGAGATGTAGACAGACGAATAATAAAAGGATTACTCAAACGTGTGAATGAAACAAAACACAGCTCCAGGTAGGGTTTCTCAAATATGTAAAAAAAAAATCATTAATCACGATTATTTTGGTCAATATTGAAATCAAGATTATTCAAATGATTATTTTTTAATTACCAGATGCTTTTATTCAGCATTTCTCTCTCTAAAAAACACTTTATTATTGATAATTAATGTAAAACTTTCAAATTGAAAATAAATATAGGCTACAAATATGTACCTTAGAGCAGTTTTGTGATGTATAAAACATAAAATGAATAAAATATACTTTGAACATGAAATAAGGCATAGAAAAACATAAATCCCAAATAATATCCAAAATAAACTATATATCCAGCTGTTCTAAAATAAACTTTGTTAAGATTTAAATAGTTTCAACTGGATTATATGAGTTTGGACCCACAAATCAAAATTAATTCATTGCAGCCTCAGCTCCAGGTCTGTTTGTGAGGAGGTAACAACATTATAACTTGTCTTAAAGCTCACAAGAGTCAATTTTGTGTAATATAGAACCTTTAAATATAATGATGGTAACTATGTTTTCGTGAAATACATGACCTTTGACTAAAAACAAGCTCTCTCATTACCTCAAAAAGCCACCTGTACATCCTGTTGTCTTTACACATTTTACCTTACGTTACACCATCGCCCTCTGAACACACAGCCCGTTCGCGCGCTGTCTCGGAGTGTGACGATGTGAGTCCATTATAAGAGGAAGGAGCTATTCGCGGCGCTGTCTGAGAGCTGAGTGTCATACCGGAAGCACAGAGGGACAAACAGCGCCGCGCACTTCCCCTCTCTAAGTGTTCCTCTGTCACACTTCAGGAGGAGGCAAGGACACGTCTGGACCACTTTACACTCCCGCTCCAGACAAGATGGTTCATTTATGATATGAAACAGAATAATTTAGCATAATGAGTGAAAAAACACAAAAGAGATAAAGACACTGAGGATGTAGTGGGGTACATTTTCATAAGAGACAATTAAAACTCACTTAGGGAAGTTGATGTGGATTATTTAAATGGATTATCAATATTTATAAGCAGGGTTGTCAAAAGTATAAAAAAACTGCAAACTGATACTAAAACTAGTATCAAAACTACATACTCTTTTGAGTATTGATACTAAAAAAGTCACATTCACAAGACAGAAATGAAGCTTTCCTGAATAATCTTGAGTTGCATCAGAACAAGTACCGTAATTTCCAGACAATCGAGCGCACCTGAATATAAAGCTACATCAACAAAATTTTAAAACTGTACATATATTGGCTGCACCTGAATATAAGTCACAGATGTCCATGTCTTCAAGAACGTTTTCAAGTTCAGGACGTCTGCTTTTATTGCTTCTAAAAGCTTTTGTCGTCTTTTTGCATTGAGTCAGTTCGTCACGTTGCCGTCGCCAAAATTTCACCATCAATTCATTGATGCCGAGTTCACGTGCAGCAGCTTTGTTTCCTTCTTCCACAGCCACATCAATCGCCTTTATCATAAAAGCTGCATCATGTACATGTCTTTGTGTGTTTTCCATGAGGGGGGTGTGTGTATGAAGCGCAAAATAATGTTAATAAATAATGTTCAAAACACAATCAAACAAGCGTCTTCCTCGGCGCATCACCCCCGTCTCTCCCTACGCTTTACTGCTCATGTCTCCTGCAGAAAGAGTCACTGTCCTGTCTGTATCATGCCAGTGACTTGGAGGATTTCAGCAGATTTCAGACTCTCTCCGGGGCGGGGCTAGTTCTATCAATCAGGTATGAGTGGATGTCCGACTACTGAAATTTGTTCTTGTCATTTACGCATACGGGTAAGACGTATCCCCCTGACTAATATGCAGCCCGTTAATCTTTTTAATCCAGCCCGCCGAACTTGAATAAATTATAATAATAAACCTTGTTAATGTTTTATTTTTCCTGCAATTTCAGCATGTCTAAATAGATGGCGCACTCTAGATACATTGACCTTTGTCTGCCAAATTTTAGAAGTCTTTGTGGCCCACGAGACAAAAAGTTTACCCACCCCTGCCATAGACCGTATATATTAATGGACAATGTGCCAAACAAAGAATCCGTGAGAAAAAAGTAGCAGCTTAAAGTCCGGAAAATATGGTATAAAAGCAGACAGACTAAGTACAGGCACACAGACCACTATGGAAAACTACCTGGACCACTGAAGGATTACACAGATATAAGACCATGTGGTAATATAATAGAAAGTGCTATGATTTAATATTGAAAATCACAAGTGTTAGTTATTAAGTGTAAGTGTAAGTGTTATTATCATTGTGGTATCAGAATTGATATTGTAAAGTATTGAAATCAAGTCTGAAAATTTACTATCATCACAATCTTCTCTTTAGAAATAAAACACAAACTATGTAAATTTTCTTGTGGGATAAATCTTGCAGTTATTCAATTACAGATGTTTTTATTGTACAAAATTAAGGGCTGATCCTCCTTCAGAAAATGTACACAGAGCAGGGATGTAATCAGCTCAAGAAATTCACCTACAGATCGATCTAATTCGACTAAAAAGGGGGCGAGGCAAAAACTCTCAGAACTATTACGTCTTACTCCTCTAAGTATCTGATCTAAACTGGGAGTAACACAAAAACGTCAATTTCTGCAGAAGATTCAATTATGTATCATGTTCCTTCCTTTTTTACATATAAATACCAAAAAATACCAAACCTTCAGCCAACTCACAAACCACCTTCTCCTTTCTGCTTTTGTCCTTTATAATTCTGTATGAACTAAATAAAATAAATGATTAAAGGTGTATAGCCCTAACACAGAGTAACTTTAAATTTCAAACCATTTTATTATTAAAGTTAAATTTTATAGATTTCTGTTTGTAATTGATTAATAATTGTGTTTAGATTCTGCACTTCATCGAGCTTTGACTGAATTGATTGTGGCAAATTCCTGAAATTAAGATGAAACTAAAACAAAAATTCTGCACCTACCAAGTAAATAATTTGTTGTACTGAAATCTTGTTGGCTATTCTGAGTTTATTCAATTTGAAACAAGCTACTTTTTTTGGCAGTGTGGTTTTGAATAACTCTGACTTACATCTGAGGCCGGCCCCTTGTCAGCGCCCGGACAGGAGAAGGTGACGAACTCATGGCAGCGTTTGTGTACCACGAAGCAACACACTGAAAAAAAAAGAGAATAGACAGAAAAAAGTGAGGGTTAGCCAGGGAGATAGGCAGATATGTGAAAAAAAAATCAAACAAACTACTCGTGTTTGGCTGAGAGGGCACCCACAACTTTCAAAAATGTCAGATTTATTGGCGATTTTTACCTATTTTTAGATCATAAACTTTTTCTCAGCTCAAAATCCTTCAGTTGTCTTAAAAAACACTTAAAAACACCTCTCGCTGTGATTGGTCAAAGCGATCATGTGATACACGAGACAACAAAAATTCAAAAACAATAACAAAAACAGAGATAAGTACAGGAACATATTTGGGACCTGGTGCTCAAAAGGAGCAGGATGAAGTTTAAAAAGACACAGAGAGTCCTGCCCCAATTGTTTTACATAATCACGTGACATGGTTCACACTTAAATATAAAGATATATATACATATATACAAAAACATACATACACCGCCATAAGTACCACTAAGGCCAGGACTAAACCAGTACTGAACCAGGACTAAATCAGGACCAATGCAAATCTAAATCAGGTCATAAACTGGCCTAGATGTCAGGACTAAACTACTACTAAAACCCACCATTCACTCATATGTACATGTTCAAATTCATTTTAAAGGTCTTATATTATGTAAAATTGATGTGAACACAGTGGAGCACTTTCTGTGTCACCATATGACATCACAAGGTGGAACAGAGTGAGAAGCACACAGCCTAAATATGCAGGCTTTGTGTGTTAAACATGTGTAAATGAAACAAAACAGCTCCAGGTCTGTTTGTGACGAGGAAACATTGGGTCCGGTCAAGCGGTAACGGAGGGAAACAGGGGCAGATTTTTTACATTCAAATAGCTCTTATTCAGAAACTAGAGGGACTATTGAAATAAGTAAAGTATCAGAATGTAGGAAAGAGTTAACACTCCAACAGGGTTAAGTTAAACCTGTGATATTCTTTCAAGTTGTTGACAAAAAATTTTAAAACTCATGTTTGTAACAGAGGGAATGAAATATGCAGCACTTTTTGGGCAATAAATACAAACAGTGATAACTACCGGTTCTCACTTACATATCCTTAACAAACTGGTTTGAATATTTGCTTCATATAGTTTTCTACCATATGGTACAAGATTAGGTTGAAAAACCTCTTACTTTTTGAGTAATGAGATTTTTTTATTAAGAAAGGTCATGGTAATGGAGGGAAAAGTAACGGAGGGAAAATTGTTCAAGCAAGTAGAAGGTGCATGATTTTGCATAATTTCTCAGCTTTTTTCTTCCGAATACTTTAATATTACTTCAAAATGAAAGGAAACTATTTCTATAAAATATGTCAGTCCTTCCAAGCTAATTTTTATCATTTTAAATACTTTTTTTTTTTTTTAAATCATGTACCTTCATCAACAGTTCAAAGATCGAATAACACAAGATATGATGAAATACATCAATTTATTTACATGATTTGCAGGTTTTTGAAAATTGGGAAATAATTTTTGTTCCATGTTTCATACATGGTCTGTTTAAAACATATGTAACTTTAAAACCAAAAATGGTACAAAAAAAAGGTAAACAGTTTCATAAACTAGAGTACATATGTATCTGTTCAATACATTTTTATATCAGATGCATTAACTTGAATTTTTGGCCTTGCTGTTTACTTCTGCTTGACCGGGCCCCATTATCTGAAAATAGCGTAATATGGGCAATTTAAATAGGCAACGAGGGAGAAGTGTCTTACCCAAGAACATAACAACAATGCACAGTGAAGACGGCAAACGCTCTAACCTCACTTAACGTAAATCTAATTCTGAATGTAGTGACAAATATACATACATTGCGAGCTGGTTACAGAAAGTATTTCTGTGTACAGTACAGAAACATCCCCTAGTTAAACAGCACTGAGGCTTTAGCGGCTAATAGGAGCTAAATGTACAGAGAGATGTGGTGCTTATTTGTCGACGCCCACACACTTGTTGTCCCTGACTCATGGTTGTCTTGTGTCGCTTTAAATGAGAGCTCACCTCGTTTACCCTACAGTAAGCTCCAAAATGACTGGATTAATCACCATTAGCCCAGTTACTATCAACAAATATGAGGCGATACATTCATAGAAATCCTAATAAGTATATTTTTGGGGGACTAAAGCACTTAGGTCTGATTGATAAGTGCTATTTGTTTGACTATTATTATTCTTAAAGGTACATTGTGTATGATTTTCTCCATGGAGATGTTAATGCTTAACCTGGAATGTTTCACAGTATGGTATTAAACCTTTTTATCTCCATGGGGACCAAACCAGATTAAGTTATAGGTCAGATCTGTGAAGAGGCGAACCCGCTCTCAGTCAGTGTGTTGTTTTTCTAGGTATTTTTGAGCTATAAACCCACCTGTAGTTGAATAAATGTAAGGTGCACCTTTGAGGGTCAAAATTTACCATTGGTTTGAACCTATAGGAAACTCTTCATTCACCAGCAATTACATAATAGTACAAAAAATCATCTTAGGAAATGTAAGGATTATCCCATTAACAATATTCAGACAATGTATTGGCAATCGATCAGGGATGTGTCAAAATGTACTTAAAATGTCACAATAAAGGTACAAGTATTAGGTTGCGTTTACACTGAAACAAATCACCGTATCAGAAACGATTTGGATCCAGACATGTTGTTTCTCCCCTATCTACACAGTAACTCGAAACCGCCTGAAATGCTAGTCACATAACTAGGCTGGCGTCGCAACGTTACGGCATCACGTGGGCAGTAAAAAGAAGGAAGTGGAGCACTGTGTCTGAAGTTGCAGCAGCCGATTTTGAGCCGAGGAAGATGGCAAGTGTGAAAACAGTCTTTTCGTGAACTGACGACGAGGTTCAGTTGTTACCGAACGTAACACTGAATTTTAAGACGTTTGTCTACGGTTTGTTTAAACTGTTTTCCGCAATAGAGTCACATGACCGATGTCACGAACCCAACAAATCAGGAAGGTTTAAGTGACAGTGATGTGGTCCAACAAGGACAGCAACTAGAGCTCCTATAACAGCGTATCAACGTTTTCAGGCATCCACACAGTGCCGGATCAAATTCATAATCAGATGAATTCGTGGGAGCTGGCGGCACCAGATCGTTCAGTCTCTGGAGGTGTTTTCCATCGGATTAGTGTGGACGAACACTCGAATGCTTATCTATTGTGGATGGGGCCTTAGTTAAAAAAAAAAAAATGCAGCTCTCAACTATCTCAACTCTTTTTATTATAGACAATATACTATACATTATACTATACTGTATATGTACGGATGGATCCATTTTACAGTTTTACAGTTAATTTTACAGTTAATTAATGTAATAATTGTGCAATTTCTGAACCAAGATACAAAAATTACTATTTCAAATCCCATGGGTATTATTGATGCTTTTTTGCAGCAAAATTGTGTCGGAACCCAAAAAAGATTGAAAAACACTGCTATACCATAATACTATCTATTATACTGTATGTCACCTACCTTTAAAGCTACCATGTGTAATTAGACTGTCCTACCCGTCCCTGTTGTACTCTCACATTTCACCACTAGATGCTGTCTACATTACTGCTGTCTAACAGTGTGAGAGTTTTAGTCTGACAGAAGAAAACCCGAGAGCAGAAGTGAGACTGAACAAAGCCCAGGGGAAGGGAGGTGAGAAGGGGGCTAGACTACAGGTTTTACATCTGACATCTACTTGTAAAAATAAATCATTACAAAAGGTAGCTTTAAAGTGCGTATGACAGATTTTTATGATTCTCTGATTTGGCGGGATTATAACTATTGTAAATATAAATGTTTTACACAAATCAAGAAGCAGTTTGTGATGAAATATTGAAAAATGTACAGGAAGTGAAGGGTTCTAAAACTCTAGGGAGAACTCTATCCAAAAGTTTGACACAATTTACATGCAAGAAACACATTTTTCTGATACTTTAAACAAGCTTTCAACAAAATAAAGATGTTTTCTTGTATTTGCATTCGTCAGATAATCATTTCTGTGTACTTTTAGTATTAGAGGAGTTTGTCTAAGTAAAAGTTACGTGATGTCAAGATTTCCAACCAAGAAGTTAAATTTGAAACCTAAAAAACTGCCAAATTGGGAAAACGTGTGTGAGTGTTTGTGCAAAAATCTTAAATATAACAATCTTAACCTGTCATAGCCACTTTAACTGAGCGCCAAACCCTTTCAGGAATTAGCATATTTCTAATTAATTCTAACTTCATGCTCTAAAACTGTGGTAATGTGCGCTTCGTTCTTTTGAAGTTTATCTGATCTGCTCTTTAATTTAGAAAAAAGGCATCTAAAAAAAGGGCATTTACCATCATATTTTTTGAATGCAACACCTCAACATAGCATTTTATCATGCTTATTTTTCACGACAGGCTGAGAATTATGAAAGAAAAGGAACATCTGTGTGTTATTTTGCAGGCTGGTGGTAAAAGCCTCATATCTGAACCAACATCAATGTCTGCCGCACTGACAGGCAAGACAAACCCAGCAGAGGCTAAAAATACCCACCCAACCACAACACAAGTGAACGCACCGCTTAAGACTAGCACAGCGTTTACATATGAGCATATATGTGTAGTGTATAAGGGATCACATAAAGATAACCGCTGAAACTAAACCAGAAAGCGTTTGAGAGCTCGTATTACGTTACTTTCTGATTGCTGTTATGTTGTTTCCTCATCGCAAATATATCTCTAATCGTGTTTTGTTTCATTCACACATTTAACACATAGAAGTTCTTCTCTCAAACGGAAAGTAAGTGGTAACACAGGAAGCGCCGTTAACTTGAAAACCATCTTGACATCACAAAGTTGAATAGAGCATTTTGAGCTTTGAAGACAGATTCATAAGCCATGGTTATGCAAACATGTGTGAATGAAACTCCACGTTTGTTTTTGATGAGGTAACAACAGTCTAACACTTTTTGTAAAATGAAAATGCCAGAAAGCTTCTAATTTTAGTGGTCGTCAAAAATT